TTGGTTTTATGTTCTCTGGTTGTGATCTTGGAATTCTTACTAATTTTACCATTGAAATTGAGAATGAGGTCTGATAGGACAGTTGGAGCATATGTATGAGCAAGAGAGATGGGTGCCATACGTCTGCTTGCCATTGCTTACCACCCCAATGTGTGCATTGTCCCACAGACACAGTTCTGGTGGACTCCCACTGCAGAGGAGCTCAGGAAGACTCAAGGCGAGTGTCATGGAGCATGAGAGTCTTCAGCTAAGCAAGCTGACAGCCCTGACAGGTCACTGCATGACATCTGCTTGTTCTAGAACTTGATCTTAATGCAGAGGAAGGTGATCCCATCCTAGGAAACACAAATGGCCAAGGAATCCTATCTGTTCTTTCTTCCTTGCATTTCTTCTTTAAGTTAGCCAGCCATAAAAATGTATCATTACAGGAAAGAGAAAGGAGGCAATCTATAGCTCCTTTTCCTTTCAGAACTTACTCAGAAATAATACAAAGAGAGGTTATTTGTAGAATGCATTTGTATCAAAGTGAAATTAAAAAAAAAAACATGTACACATGATTTGAATACTTTTTGCAGAATTTCTTCTGTTCTGATAATTACTAAGTACATATACATTTTGAGGCACAAAATAAGAATTGCATAATTTCAGTGATTCCACTTGTAAGTTCAATATTCTTCCATTTGCTTCTAGAACTGGCATTGTACAATATACAGATGAACAGTAACATCCTTACTAATAATATAAAGTGTCAGTTTTTCTTTACCAACAGTGACATTAAAGAGCAAATAAAAAGCACCATGACAAGCTGAGACCAGAAAAGGGGAAAAGCTTCGTATTTAAGAATTGTTAATGGCACCTTTTGGCTACTTCTGAATAAGCAGCCCCAGGTGGAACTTTTATTAAAAAAGATGAGCACCAATTACATGAAAATTATATAGCAAACTTACAAACAAAGCTCAAAAAAAAAATCAATGGAGTTTACTGTAGAAAGGCAAAAGACATCAATTAATTAAAGCATTTCTAGAGTATTTGAAAGGGAATTTGATGCCATATTGAGAAAAGTGAAAATGACAAAGTAATCAGCTCACCTAATTAGACAACTGACAGGTGTAAGAAGTAGAATTAAAAACTCAAGCAAAATATGCAGGAGTCTACACACATGCTAATAGCCTAAATAATAAACAGCAATGACTCCAAATTCTTGACAGCTGGAGTAAAACATCAAGATAAATCGTCACCAAAGACCTGATGCATAAGGGCAAACCGTTAAATGTGGTGCTATTTATTTTCCAACTCAGAAGACAGATTAGGAAAAGCTATATGGAAAGCCTGCTTATTTGGAGCATTAATCTTTTCCTACATCTGAGGTTTTGGGTTTTAGTATGCATGTGATGTTCCTAAAATTTCCTCATGTTTTAAAAGAAAAACTTTATAATATCTCTCTTCTTGGGTGAAAATTAAATGAGATGATTAATAGGATAAAGGTTTTTTTTTTTTCATGAGCTACCTCAGTTTCAGGCCAAGAGATACTTTTCAAGCTGACCTCAAAGCATTTATGATTCAAATCCTTTTTAGGAACAGATACATACAAATATTAACTATAAGGATGTTCAATGTCACATTATTGTACTCACAATAAATAATTATCAAGTTATTGATTAAACAAACTTTGATTTGTTCATATAATAGAAGTCTATATATTTTTTTAAATGATACTGTAGAATATCTAGTGATTTCAGCAGAGTTGCTGCTATGTTAAATGCAAAAAGTAAATTATGTAACATAGCTTACACTATGATCTCAGTTTTCTTAATATAGTTTTACTGAAAAACAAAGTCATAAGAGGAGAATATACACCTATGTGTTATCATCTCTTATAGTACATTGTGATTAATATTTATTTCCTTTTTAAAATTCTAATAGTATCCCATAAGCAAATTTTTGCTTTGGATTTTTTCCAAAGAGGTAAAAAAAAACTATGTTATTTTATATTTTTAAAAATATATATAACAAAAATTGCCTCAGTGTAGTTACAAAGTACTTGTTACAGGTTTTACAGGTACCATTGCACAATTTCAGGGTTAATGACACATGCCACCCCTCTAAACACCAAATCTACAATGGCCCAGTTTCCTGCAGAAATTTTAAACCAGAATACCTTAAAGGACTAAAAAAAGATAGTAAGTAGAGTATAGAAAACTGAGAACATTTCCTTTAAAAAGGAAATTTATAATTTGCTCAACTACCACAGACTAAACAGATTAGGTTTTATCTATGAATCTCCCATATACAAAATAAGAAATAAGTCCTTGCCCCATGTTCTCCTTCAGCTCCTGTCCTATAATTCTGCCCCACTTCTACTTTCCTATGCAGGGTGCAGGGTTTGTGTACTTAGACATATTTGCTTTTCTTTCTTGATCTTCCAACAGTGTTTGGCATCATGGATTATTCTCCCTCGGAGCATCCTTTGCACAGCCTTGAGAGTTTCCCTAGTATCTCATTGATCCTTACTTGTTGCTTTACAGATTTCTCATCTTTTCTGCTTGACATAGAAGTGCCTGGGGCTCAGTTCTCAGAACTTTTCTCATTCTTGTTCTAGCTCTTCTTGATGTTCTTCAGCATCACATCTGGGGGAAAAAAAAAAAAAAACCTACACTCTGAAGACTACATACAGAAGTTCTATCTCCAGCCAATCCTGTGACCTGATCTCTAGTTTCTCATCCAACTTCCTATATTACATCTTCATTCACATGGCTAATAAACATCTCAAGTATGCCATGGGCCAAACTCAACTTTTAATTCTGATACACCTAGAGTTCATACCAAGTTCATTTTACAGTTGTCCAGCCAGTAAAATTTGGAGGAATCTTCTAACACTATCTCCAACTCATTAGAAAATCCTGCTGTCTCTACCTTCAAAATATCTCCATTATCAGATAACTTCTTGCTATGCTGCTAGCACCGTGGTCCAAGACACAATTTTCTCTCATCCGATTTATTATCATAGCATCCTCACTGGGGATTCACCTTTGAGTCTATTCCACCCCAGTAGTCAGAGTGACTTAAGTCAGTTCATGTTTCTCATCTGCTTGAAGATCCCAAGAACGTCCTATTTCTGACAGATGAAAAAACACCATCCTGCCTGGTACAATGAGGCCCTCTCTAACCTCTCTGATCTCATCTCTCAATACCTCCTTGAGTTCCACCGTACAGACCTCTTTTCTGTTCTTGCAAAATGTAGATGATGGCCCTGCCTAGGGAATTTTTGCTCTATCTTTTCTGCTTGCAATGTCCTTTCCCTAGGCCCTGGTATGGCTTGGTCCCTTAGTTCCCTCTTCTCTTTTCTGGAGTATGACCTTTCTAGTATGACCATTCTGACTGTCTAATTTAAAATTGCACACGCACAATGCTCAGCCCTTGTTTCCCTCTTTTGTTTTTCTCCTCGGTGCTGCAAATCTTCAAACATACGTCATATTTCACTTGGTTTCCCTTGTTTATTGCTTTATTCCCCTAATAG